AATAATAAAAAATCGGCCAAGTGCGAGTCGGACTCGCGCACGAAGGATTCCGTACCATTATCTATAAAAACTGCAAAAAAAAAAAAGTCTTTTGTATGAGAGCCCCACTTAAATATTTTTATTTTGTTTTTTGTTTTTTAGTATTTATTGTAGCGGCAATAGAAATACAGCTTCTGTGACAATTTTTTTCAACAACTTTCTAATTATCACGGTTCATGAGATACACAGCCTGGTGACAGACTCCGCTGTCTGTCTGTCTGTCTGTCTATCGGTCAGACAGACAGACAGTCAGACAGCGGAGTCTTAGTAATAAGGTCCAGGTTTACCCTTTGGGTATGGAACCCTAAAAATAACAAATCATCACTTCGAAACGCCTGCTTCTAACAAGATTCAACTATTACTTCAGCCTAACCATTATCTTTCTTAACTTTCAAGAATAAACAGTATAACTGCTCTAATGTGGCTTCTCTATCTACTACGATAAGTATTTGTATATTTCCTGCTAAATCTGCAATTTAAAAATGAAGCTAAGAATAAAACTCAATAATTAGAGTCTGAATAAATCTCAGAAAATTGTCCAAATACGAAAATATTAACAAATAGTATATTTATCATTTTTCTCATTTTTCTCATTTTCTTTCCTTATATTCCAGGTACATCCCATTCCGTAAAAATATTAATAATATATGCGATGATTTTTCTCGCCATCATATCGAATAAGAAAGCCTCAGTCCCTTTATCATCACAATAAATCAATTATGTATTTATTGTTATTTATAAAGCTTATGTAGCCTTAATTGTTGTTAGTAGCGGATGTAGTTTAAAATGTTTAAAACATTTTAAACTACATCCGCTACTTACAGACTCCCTTTACAGGTTCTGTGTTGCTTAGATATGAAACGTAAGCAAAACAGCACCAATACGATGCTATTCTGCAAGGAGACATTTATCGTAATTACATCACCGAGCGACCGACTTCACCTTGTTATGGTAGCATAGCAAACAACATGATATTTGTCGAAGTTAGATAACACCGTAGCAACGTGCCGACTGATAAAACCATTGGGGGCATGACGATAATAATAAAACAACAAAAAAAAATAACGCAATCCTTCAAATTTATCAGAACTATCGCAGTTGTTTACGAACTCAAACAAGTTCAAAGTTCTCAAAAACCTTGAAAGTCGTCACAGGCCATAATGCTTTTTTCTGGTCGCTTATTTTTAATTTGCTTTTACACATGTTAGCATTAAGCACATATATGTAAATTGCGAAAAATGTTTACAAAGAAACTTTGGTTTTCATCTAAGCAATCGCAAAGTGAAAACTATTATTATGAACTCAATGTCATTGTGTTCTGTAAACGCAATTGTAATTTATAGCCTGTGCAATTAAATTACATTCCGTACGGCCGCTGTCAATTGTCTAGAGCGGAGGCAAACAGACAATTGTGCCGGGGGCGTGGTCCGACGTCACCCGGAGACGTCTCACTCACAACACAAGGCTTATTAAAACTTTGTTGATGAAATTCACATGAATTTTAGAAACTATTTTAGAGATTGCGTCTAGTCAAACGATCTTTACTGTTAATGCTTCAAATTAGGCATACTTAATCAAGTAGTCTCAATTTTTTTTTGTACGTGTGGAGTGACGTGTCATTCGGTCATATATATGTTTATTTATATTAATATACATTATAATGTTGTTTACAATGTCTTTTTTATTCATATTTTGAAAAAGAGACACTGTCAAGTTTATTTTACGAAGATGGATCGTTGATGTTCCATTTAATAGTAATGAAAAGCTGCACCGCTACTTTAAACGCACTCATCTATTTTTAAACACAAAGCGCAAAGTTCAATTGTGGCCCGACGAGGCAATTGACTGATCTCGGAACTGTGCCCGAGTTTACTTTTCTTGCAACTTCACAGCTTGCTTTCTTTTGCATGTTCTGCACATTGAGCTAGGAACGAAAAATAGTTGACGAAGACAATGACATATTCCAACATCAAATTATCTCGCCCACTTGTATTATTTGACGAATACGGCATAATCACTATAAGGCATAACCAGAGGATTGTTATAAAATAGGTTTTCCCTGGAACACGAGGTCAAGAGAAATTTGGCAAAAGTTTAATAAGTCACCGAGTTTAAAGCACCTTTTGAAGTTATGCTTCTTTTGGCGTGTTTGGAAAAAATATGGGAGTAATATTTTTACGATGCGCACACATACCGACACGACAAGATAAACTTTTTTAAAATTAGAAAACGACAATCATAAAACTCAGCTAAGTTTATTTAGTTTAAAAGATCCTATATTCTTCAGAGAACTGAAACAGTGTTCTGCTGAACGATCCAATTCGCATCGTAGGTATACACAACATCGAGAGCGAATAACAAACTAGTGTTCTATTTCCACGATTCAGCTGCAATTTCTATCACGATGTGGTTGCGTGAAGCAAATTACGAGATTCATAACATATATGAACACTTAGCATGCAGTGACCAAATGTCGTCTGGCTAAATGCCATGGTGCCTCAGACACAGCATTATCGCTAAATATGTAACTGAAGACCTTAAAATCGATAATTTCGACTATCGCGATTCCGATTAACGGTGCATCCCAGATCGATGCGATTCAAGGACATTAAAAGAGTCGACACAAAAACCAGGCCACAGTTTTGAATATGTGTTGGTTGCAAATGTCTATTGGTTATCATCAGATTGTCTACTTGCTTCTTTGCATATGACAATTCTATAAAAAATGTTCGTTCAATTTCGACTATATAAGATTTCAATATTAATGTCATCAATGTTAATATGCATTTAGAACAAATTTTATCTGTTTCAGTTACGAATTACATTATATCTGCGCCTTTTTTTTGTGAAAATAATTGAAATTAGGTGTAAAAAATTTTTGTTTCGAACTAATTTTATTTCAGGATGTGTGATAATCTCTGGTAATCTGTTTTAATTCGTTAGAAGTCCGAGGTCCTAAATGTTAATAAGTTTTTCATTGAATGTCATTAAATTATTTATAAGCTATAAAGTACGCTAAGCTATAAGTATTGTATTCACAGAGCACCTTAGTCATAAAAAATAGGAAAAGTAAAACGTCCAACGTCAAACGTTCAGGAGCTGCGGCGGGTAATTCAAATAAAAAGATTTTACGTAATCTAATATATAAAATTCGTGTCACGGTGTTTGTAATTGAACTCCTCCGAAACATTTATTTTCAATGTTTTTTTTTCGGAGGATTCATAAGGATTCATAATGTACTTATGAAGCACCGAAGGTAATAAAATCATATAAATGATGAGGGAATTTGGACGGAGTGACGTCTCGCGCGGTCAAATTTGTTAAGGGTTTTTCAAACTGTGCTTAAAAATTTATTTTCACTGTAATATCTCTTTAATTAAAGAGAAAACCATTACTTTTAATTTAAAACTTATATATCATCTATCGATTTATGACAAAAGATTTTTATGTTCAGAAACCCGTTGTGTATGAACAATCTCCCAAAGTTTAATCATAAGTTGGCAAAGATAGCAATATGAAGATAGCAATATGATAGCAAAATGAATATATATAATATATGATATACCGCTTTAATGAGATGAATGATGATGCACCTTTTTTAAGCTTCTGTATACACGGGGTATTCTGTTAGCGTTATAATTTGCAGAGGTGTATCTTACAAGGTTTACTGAGATCATGATGGTGAATCGTGAAGACAGTTATTTTCTACATAGGGTTAAAAGCTATCCGGTAAAAAGATCTCGGTAACACGCCCGGACATGTTTAAAATATTCTTAAATTACTTGATGCTGTTGCTGACAACTTGTGACTACTAAATGTAATAAGAAGCCCATAGTACAGTCATTAATATCTTCGTTATATTCATTGATATAATTTTCGATATTGCAAGTTAACATGTTTAGTTTTTTCAATAGTTGGCTTTAATAAAACCTTTTGCTGTCGTGTTGTTACTTGCTGGAACTATAAAATTTTCTCCATCTCGAAACTTCTTTAGGTTCGAGATCGCATTGATTGTTTTAATTGCTAAAGTGGCGATTTTAATGCCTTGGTATCATGCCAAACAGCCCTAATTAGAACGCAATTGGACTCGATGCTACGAACATACCAGCGTCACTTGAGGACATATGGATATGTACTTCAACATATACTTGTTTTAGATATAAAACTCGATGAAGTTGACTTAGTTTATTTCGATTAGAACATGTTTCGCAATTTTTTCCAAATCCTTATCTGTTTTAACAAAGCACAACGTGAAGAAATCTGTGAATTCTTACGTGAAAGAAAAGTATGCACTACTATTATTTCTGTTACTATACTTTGTTAAAATTATTTTAAGAAGGTACATATTATAAACTTTATTACTCAGGTATTCTTTGTACGAGCATGGACTTATTTATACTTCTTCGACTTCGACTTCAATCTTCACCGATATTGACCTCGCGATGGCGATACAAGGAAATTGTACGGAAGAGAGTGGCGCCTAAAAATAATTTCTTGAATAAATCCTAATTCAAATCATAATTGGCTCGGCGAATTATAGTCATACTCACGTCAATATTGACGTAAGCGAAGTGTCGATTTCTTTTTTATTGTTAGACATAACATTTTCCATTGCAGCCAGCCCGCAAATGTCTACGATTGGTTGATATGTTAAACAACCAACTCTTTTCTTTAATGGTGCGCTTTCTGATAAATTGATATAGTTCATACTAAATCATTACGGCGATGTTTCAAACTAGCAGCGTCACGTTATGAAAAAAAAAAGGTTCAAAGAACGCCTCGTTGAGAGGTAAAAATGTGTGTCAATGGCATTTCACAACTTTCGCTGAAAGATTTGCGTTTTAAATATAGGCGGGGCGTTGTGTTTTGGAAATTAATCCAACTGCCTGACGCATTCTTCCTTAAGCAGCTGCCAAGAGAGCGGGCGAAAGCTTTGTTCGTGAGTTTCTTTAACGACTTACCGTTGGCCAAAGCGCCGTGGAGTGCTTTCTCCTTGTCCTCCATCATTGCGTGCGCGGTACTCGCTCCTGGTGCCATGACAATTCGCCTCAGGGACGGCCTCCTCACTAATGCGACTACGTGCTTGGTGCGGTGCTGTTGGGTTCTCTTGCGACGCGTGCGCACTCTGTGAAGGCCTGCGGGCGACTGTCCGCCGACGCCGGCGGTTATCACGGCGCGGCCCTTATCAGTCCCGCGGCAGTGATTGCCCACCAGCCATACGACGGCCGAGTAGATCTTGCAGTATATCAGCCAGAGATATAGGTACCAGTCGCCCCGGATGCACAGTAACGCCATCAATAGCGATCTGAAAATCGAAAAAAATGCGTTGGCTATGGCAATGTAAATCATGTCAACATCATATCATGATGTTATATGGCCTATAATAACAAAACTAAAAAAAGACAACTACAAAAAACATTTGCTCGGAAAAATCCACCAATATAAATGTATGAACCGATTTATTAGTCTTTTATAACAAATTTCATGACAAGTTAGTATTGTGAATCATAATTATTATCTTAAGAGCATAAGTCCTTCTATTACAAAACCATTTCATGGACGATACTACGCAACGGCACGTCGACAGATAGGGAGTTAAATGCACTTTAACAGTACAATCAATATATTTTAATAACTTATTATAATTATGAGTCGCGACAACCACGTAATTTTCCACGGAATATGAGATATATGAGCCGTGATAGCTCAGTGTCTGGGCGCTCGCCTTTAATTCAATATACTCGAGCAACCTGAGTTCGATCCCCGGTGCTGGCAACAATGAAATTATTATTTTTAAGTGCCGAATTATCACGTGCACAGCGGTGAAGGAAAACATCGTGAGGAAACCTGCATATTTTCGAAATAATAACAAAAAAAATTTTTCGAAAATATGTGAAGTCCGCCAATCCGCAGTGGGGCCGCGTGGTGGACTTTGCCCTGATATCCTATGTGCACGAAGGCCTTTTCCCAACACCGGGACGTGTATAGGCTTATACTTTACTTTTTATATGAGATATATGCATATGAATAGGGCTCTATGACTCGTTGATGCAATTAGTTTTAATTTTCAAAACTTGTATAGAAATTCATGGGTTTTGATAGTGATGGGCTCACGACGTTAACAAGCGAAAAATACACAAATAAACATATTGGCGATAGATCTAACAAGATTTATTTGTAACATCGTTAACGAAGCGGAAAAAAATTCATATTGATTTCGTCATTACTACTTAGGTTCTAACTTTGAAAGTTGAAATTTCACTAAAAAATAAAGAATAGCGATGTGACGTACCAACAGCCTTTATTGTTTGTGGTTTTCCTTCGAGCAACTTGTAAAATTTATTTTTAAAATAAATTTTAAAATAAATTTTTACAAGTTGCTCGAAGGAAAGGTTTCTGCCATTATATTCCCAAACTGACATACTGACATCCTTGATTAATTTAATTTGAATTCCATAATTCATTTAATTTAAAAATCTGATTATGGAAGCAGTATTATAACTTAGGTACTAAATTTTTGGATTCAACAACGTCCTTCCTCAGTTTTGCGAACACATGAAACATTTTAATTTAATAAATTAATAGTTATGATATGGTGATAGGTGCAATAAAATTTATTATCATCAATCAAAAATTTATTATCATCAATATTTTTTTAATAAAACACTATATAAAATGCTCGCAGTGTTACTCGAAGAAGATACTTATATACTTTTGTTTGTTTTTACTTTCCACCTGTACAATTGTATAAAATTTCATTAGTAGTAGTACTCGAAGGAAAGCTGAAATTCCTAGAGCTTGATAGGTTGATTTGATAAGCTGATAAGCGCACGTGGACACGCGCAAATTAAAACAAATATGATGGGATCTTTCGAAGAGGTCTACCAACATACTCGGTTTAGTTCCCAAATCGAATAAGTTTTTGATGTTTACAATTTGATATGGTGTTAGTGTATGGGGGAGGCCTATGTTCAGCAGTGGACTCGGACAGGCTGAAATGATGATGATGATGATGATGGTGTTAGATTTCTGTTTCGTAAATTGTTTATATACTTTCTAAAATTTACACGCGAACTTGTTACGGTGGCTTTGGAACGTGCTGGATATTTCTGTAGCCGATAGTTTATTGTTAGTGTTATTTTAGTAAAGTTTTACAACAAAATATTTTTATTTCAAAACAATTTCTACAAAAAAACGTTTCTTTTATTTTAAAAAAAAACATATTTCTACATATGGGAAAAAAACTTCACATAGAAAATTAGAGAAATTTTTACAAATAAATTAAAAAAAAACCTAATAATTCGATGATAAGCTCTGCCCAGGTATCGGGGGTCGTGGGTTTTTGCAGACCCACAATGTATCTGGGTGTTTCACATAGAAAATAGAAAAGGGATAGAGAAATTTCATAAAAATACAAATAAATTAATTTTAAGAATAGTACTGTAATAATCATTCTGACAGTTTTTTTTACTATGACAGCTCAAACTTTTAGTTGCAGAAAGAAAAATTGTGTTTGTCATGAGAACATATATACTGAATTGAATGAAAGTCAACAAAAAAATGACAAATCAGTATATTTCGGTTCACTAAATTATTTATTGGCTTGCTCTCCAAGCTCTCCTTGACCAAGATATGTTGAATTAACTATAACACGAAGTAAAATTCATATAAAATATAGGTAGGTACATTAGGGAACGATTACATACTTTATTTTATTGACATGTTGTGTGCATATATTTCTAAAACTTAACTGGTTAATGGCTTACGTTGTGCCTGAAGCACACAATCAATATCAGGTCAGAAGAAAACATGACAAAGCTAGTATTTAAATTGTTTATAGTGCTAATCTTTGCACTTAAGATTTAACATTAAAACATGTAGAAAAAGCACGAAAATATTGTCGCCGCTGTGGAAATCGAACCCACGTCTTCGGCATTCGCGGCCTGACGTTTTAACCACTAAGCTAAACGGCTGATTGCCACAGCGACTAAAATCATGCCGCGAATGCCGAAGACTTGGGTTCGATTTCCACAGCGGCGACAATCTTTTCGTGCTTTTTCTACATGTTTTAAGAACTAGTATTGGTAATAGAAATAATAGCTTGTCGTACTGGATTTACGCAATCGTTTTAAATGTCAGTACGATAATCAATGTAGATAAAAAGATTTAATTTTATACATCATGGTCGTGATTTAACGGATAATTTGCATCATTAAATTGATGCAACAGGCTATCTACTACTCGTATTAAATATAATCCTACAGATTACACGCCATTAATGAATGATGTAACATATTATGTCTTGTTTGTGTCTCAGAGAAGCTGGTGTCGCCTTGTGACTATCATTATCATGTGCATTATTATATGTCGGACCTTTGTTCATACTGCTCTTTGATCATATACATTCGCATCCTATTTATATTTACTGAAAAGGTTACAATGAAATTACCCCGTCTACGTGAAATATGAGGTAAAATTAATTTGCAAAATATTAAATATTATTTTTTATATATTACTTCATTCCCCCTGTTATAAGGAATCCAGTGAAACCTAAAAATCTTCATCAGTAAAACTGTTTAAATTTGATTTTTGATTTCTTTTTTCTTTTAAAAAAAAATAGCCCTTACCTTAGGATAACGTTATCCTGTGTTGTAATAACGATTTTACAAACATAAATTTTACGTGGACAAACACCCAGATGCGAAACAACTATCTGTGGGTCACACCAATAGTTGTCCCGTGTGGGAATTGAACCCACGACTCCCGACGCCGAAGCCAATACCTTAGCCACTGCGCCACGAGTCCTCAATGATACTAATGAATACATATTACATAATATATACTTATAAGTTTACTCTCCTTCAACAGTCTGGTAAAAAACGCGCCGTGCAATAACATGTTGATATAAATTTCTGTGCTGTGAATGAAAAAAATGTTGTGATCAAAATTATTTGAGTCGGTCACAAGTTTTTGATATTATTATAGTATATTATACATACTTAGTTCAAATTTAAAAGCAGCAAACTAATTTCTTTAATTCCCAAACACGGGATAAGATTGACCTCTGTCATTTGTCAATTTAATAAATATTTCTTAATGGTTAAATTAGTTATAGCTTTTATTATTTATTTATGATGAAAATGTGGAGCGCATGCAATAGTCTGTAATGTACAGAAAGATTCTATAAAAGAGACAACTTACGTACACATAATTTTTCACCATTCTCAGTGCAATTTTTTTATATATACAGCGTGTCTTTACCATCGCGACAATAAATGAACACACGTCTAACGCTACTTGCCCAATAATCATAAAAAAAATGTTAACGTTAAACAACATCCATAATTAAAAAAAATATTTTTCAAACAAACTAATTAAGTAAAAAAGAAACAAAATTTGTAACATCCTATACAACTCGCGCCACAGCGTCGCATTACAAGCCTCTCCTTCTAACAGTATGTTTTGTCGCTTTTAAATTCATTCAACCCATTCATGTGCTTTGTGACCTTTACAATAACTCTGTAAATATTGATGTTTAAAGAATTTAAATGTTTAATACAACTTTAAAAAGTTATCCCCTTTATGTGTGTTCATTTATTGTCGCGATGGTAACGACACGCTGTATAATCCTTGTGTATGTCACTGAACTCCTCCTAAACCGTTCTGTCTAATTCTGTAATTCGTTCTGTAAAATTTTTTGATTCGAGAATGGTTTATATTCATAATTCGGTCTACTACATTTTTTTCAATACTTTAATTTAGTCGTTGTCAAATTTAAGTCGTGTGTACAGTACAACGTCTGTCGGGTCCGCTAGTACAAATATAAAATAAAGTTATCGTGGCATGAATTATCTGCTGCATACGCCCCACGTTTTAATTTTTAAATGTAACAAGTATCTACATAGCTATTTAAAAAATTATTGGATCGAAATAAAATTAATCATTTTCAAGTTAACGGTAGACAGAGTGTACCACCTAATAATGACACTAGGATGCTTGATATCTCAGTTCCGCCCATAACCACGATTGCTGTAAAGCATTCGAAACGTCCGATGTTTAAAATGTAAATAAGGCTCGATAAAATCCGTGAGTTGGTTTTATAAAAATGTGTAATATTCGCGTAAATAGAAGTTACTAGATATATTTATTTTCATCAATCAATCTGTGTCTACATCAGTTTGTTTAAAATCAATTACAAAACTTGACGCGAACAGAGACACAGCAAAGCAAATAATTATTAAAAACGTGCTAATAATAAAGAAATAAAAAAATATTTAAGCTGTATTTAACAGATTGTTTATGACGATGAACAAAAAACAGATTACTATTATTACCAGCATATTATAGCCTCGGTTCAGTTAACAGTTTATAAAACTCAATCAAATAATAATGTTTGTTTTTGTGAGCATGTTTTCGGACTATCAAACATATCAGGGCAACGAACGTGTTATTAATATTGAGTTTAAACATTTAAACGCTTTACAAGTTTCTTTGTTGGCATCGTCATATACGTTGATAATGTAATCACGCCAACACACCTACAAAATTAAAATGATGCATAATCCATACAACGTAGGAAAATAGCTACACCGCCTTCTACTTATATTACCTCGGGCCGATCATTGAATACCAATATTCACGTGTATCTTTACAATGTCACGTGTTTTATCTTTGTGGTAGCATTTATAAAACTTGTTTTGGCTTTTTAATAATAGACGTCTACTAAGTGGTAGAATATTTAGACGTTATTCTTGTTATAAGAAACATTTTTTTTTGTATTTTAAACGAGTCGTTGAAGTGGCAGTTTGAAACATAAGACTAGGGTCCAAGCTTTCTATGCATAAGTGGTAACGACTATGTGGGGCAAGTAATGAAAATAAAAATTAAAACATATTTTGTAATTAAATCTTTTTCAGCGTCCGTACAAAGATTTTTTCTCTCTCTCTCTCTCTCTCTCTCTCTCTAATGTCTATATTATTGTACATATATTTGGACCAATTCAAAAGGAAGTTCACATCTGAGTGGTATTCATTTCAGCATATCTGATTCCACTGCTGAACATATGCCGCCCCCACAAACTGCCATGAAGCAGTATCTTAAGTCACCGAGACAATTGTCTACAGCAAACATTATGAACACAAAGGTCAATTGGAAACCGAGAAAAAATAGAAATGTAATGTATGTACAAATTTTTCATTGATAATTAAACATAAATACGCTTATATAAACTTATAAAACAATTCACCGTTGCAACTGATTTTTTTACATCTTCTATAAATTGGTATTTTTAAAGTTGCAGTAAGTGCATATTCAAATTGACAAATGACCAGATAGCATTCGCTTACGAAAGTACGATTTTATCCGACGATACACACACAACAGCGTCCGGTCAATAAGGACGTCCGTGTAGACCGTGTTGTATTTGTACCAGAAATTATACATGTGGGTGTAGGTAATTTATAGATATAGATAGTACTTAGCATTGCACAGAAATAATAATAAGATTTTACAAATAAAAGCAAACAACATAATATAACAGCAATACACAACCTTTAATTGGTGGTAGGGCCAAGCAACAGTTGCGCAAATGAGCAGGTCCGTCCGGTTAAGTACCACGACTTCACAGAAGACTAGCGTGAAGTAGAAGTGTTAAGTGTACTTCTGCGTTTCGTCTGGTGAGTGAGGTATCCGGGGCCCACTTTATTATAAGGTGGCAATACATGTACAACCATACGGGTGTTGCAATTGTCAGTAGGCGGTGGTTATTACTTAACATCGGCTGAACCGCAAGCTTGCTTGCCATCTTTTTACAGAAAAAGAAAACAATCGACTTTAGCATTCTAAAAAATAAGTTTATTCAAACTTCAGTCATGTTCAACTCGAAGTTATCAAGTTATCGAAACCGTTACTGATTGTTTTCCGCCTCTTTCCTTCACTGAACTGACCTGACTTCAAGAAACCTTGTTAGAGAAAATACATTTTTTTACATCAATCGACTCGATAGCTGCTGAAAAATTATAAAACAGGGGGCATAAATATAATCTACTAAAGAAGACCATAAACTAAAATCTGTCTTGTTTATTTTGGTTCATCATTAATGTCATCTTCTCTTACAGAACTATCAAATGATCTTTTCTAACAAAACCTTTGACATCTTTGTAGTATTCAGTTTATAAGATATTCACAATTTTTTTTTGTCTAATGTTTACATTACACCTAATACTAGAAGCTCAGTAGAAGGGCAAATTATTACGGCATTGACGGTCATTGATGGACATTCCGTTGGCGCGAGCAGTCAAGATGAGGTACCTGTGTTCGACGCGCAACAATAACTTTCTATCCATAATTATAACCTGGTCCAGTAGGTATAAAACCGGAACGTACGACACCTTTTAAATACATCAGTTTTGTTGCCTCATGTTCTCGAGTTTTCTATACTATATATTTTCTGACAATTACTTGATGATAATAACGGAATTATTTCACTTCACTGACAAGACGACATACGATTATTATATCGTGACGTATCGATTAATTATTATATAAAAATGCGACTGAGAAATGGCGAATGTAAACAGTATTCAATTCGCATGCAAGTGAACGCAACGAATCATAAAGCGAGACTGTCGGGTTTGTTATAACTATTTTATTTAAAGAATCTTCTTTTAAACTAAATACGCCCCCTAGACAATACAATACGCTGTTTAACAATCATATCGATTTCTTTCTTCAACGTACATCGCTAAATGAATCTGTCATAGGTAGATCGTATGACAAGTTTTGGTTCCACTTTGACCATTTATAAGCAGATGCACGAACTGAAGCGACGCGATATAGTATTGACGTAAAAGGTCAGCTAATGATTTTAGCAATTTAAATCAGCCTATTTTTAATAGGTATTTTAATAGGTATATTAATGTGGCAGGCAGTTGTACAACTGCAAGAAAAAATTGAGTAAATGAGAAAGTGCTCACCTGCTTGTAGAACTAAAGTCTTCCTTCGCAATAGTGGTCAGAGGATGTGTGTCGAATGAAATGCACCAAATCGTGGCGCATAGCAGTGCGCCCGTGGATAGCGATGAACGTTTCAATACACATTCGCAACAAGTCCGAACAGACGGTCAGTGTCAATCTGTCAACCAAAACTCTCCCCCAACATCGCACGGGGAATACGGCACTGAAATTATACAGTTTTAAAGCAGTCTTTGACCTCGCGGCGATGTAGGCGACGTTACGGAATAAACACCGCGTCACTATTTAACGCCGGACCGTATCTTGCTCATTTTAATATCCGAAATGTTCCTAGGCTCGGATTGAGGATCTCGTCGGTTTATTCACGGGCTTTCAGCGTTTGCCACGGACGAAAATGTCGCGGACAAATGACAACGTGGATCGTCAACAGATGAATGGCGAAGCTTGGCGAAAGCGATCGCGCAACACCCGACTTCGGGTGACATCGATTGCGTTCGGACAACTTCGTGTCGGGCCGCAGCCAATAGAAGGGGCTTTATGGGCTTGGGCATTTATCTATCTACGCAAGTACGCACCCACTACCTGCTTACATTACGGAGTAACAAGTAACTACAATGCAAATACAATGCAAGATGCACTCTCAAAGTAAACACTAACATTTCTGCTAATTTTCTTTCATGGAACGTAAACAACAACATCATACACTAAAATAAAAACAATCATGTCAATAAGATTAAATATCTATCAATGGATGAGTTAGGAAATATTATATTTGAAGAATGAATGATGAACGGACAAATATGATAGATCAAAAAACTACGTACCAATATCTAATCATATTACGTGATAAACAAAGTACGTATAAATCCTAAAGATTCGTCCCAAGTATACAAGATGAGACCAACTTATCATCTGAACAGAACTGAAATCAATGTTGAACTAGAATATTATGTTTTAACTATAGATGCTAACGAAGAGCACAACCATTTCTGAAATAAGGCATAATTCAGGCCGTGATAACTCAGCGATCGAGCGCTTACTCTTAAATACACCACTCCCCTGTTATTCTCGACTTCACTGTTCTCGAATTCGATCATTCGTGGAAACTGTTTTACTGACCAAAATTTGTTATCCGCAAATAAAAGACACGCCTACAACAAGTGCTAATAAAAACGTAGCCTACTCTACAAAATGTGATTCTACAACTCGGTCATTGGGTAAAAGATTTTGTTGACATAAATGTAAAAGATATAGATGAAGTTATTCAGGCACAAGGCTCAATTTCATCTGAAAAATTTCGGTCACGAGACGATAAACATTTTTTAAAGACCGTAAAGGAAGCAAAAAAGCACAGATAAAATAAATGACAAAACAATTAAAAACCTTTCTATGATTTTCGCAACGGCAGGCCGGTTTAGTGAAGAGAATATAATTAACGATAACTAAAAACGTAATCTCAGAAGAGCTTAGCTATCGAAGCTTCAGAAGAGTTAAGGATTATTCGTTTGAAGACAACAATCATGACGATTGGCTTCTGCACCGTGGGTCATGGGTCTGAATCCCGCACGGACAAGTATTTGTTTGACACACAGAGTGGGTTGACGGGTAGGCGCAGCAGGTCGTAAAAAATGCTAACCCAAACGACATACGTCATGATTCGCATTGTGTGCCGACCCCACCAAGATAGGTTAAGGTCAGATGAAGAATTATAATTTCAAAGATATGTGATTACCCACCCAATAATAGAAATAACCCTATAAAGTATGTATCGACATGACTAGACTTGTGCTTTAAATAAAGTAAAAGGCTGTTCCAGTAACCGCCCATGTACATTTGAAACACCAATAGGGTCGCAGATGCGTCACCACCTTTTAATAAAGTGGGCCCCGACTACCTCACTCACCAGAGGCACGTACCTCACGCAGAACACTTCCTTCCACCACACGCCGGTCTTCTTTGAGGTCGAATAGGCAGACCCCGGACAGACCTACCCATTCGTGCAACAGCCGCAGCTGTTGCGTGGTCCTACAACAGTTAAAACATTCACATTGACATTCCATTATTAATGTAATGATAATTAAAAGAAAGATACATAATTACAAATAGCATTTATTTCATTACAATGCAAATTATGTTGATCTAACCTAATCTAAGCATCCATTCAGTATTATCTGAATAGGTCTGGTCATCTAATTATGTATATACAAATAAATTTTATCTATTTGTAATAGTGGTGAAGACGAGCCAAAGAAATTAACGAAAATAACCTGATCTCGAATCTCCCAAAAGGTCTTGGACTTTGACGTAGAGTCGTTCGCAGTGTAATGATGACCCCAACGTAAGGTCGGAAATCACGAGACGGCTTTGTGTTCGTTTTTACTTGCTTCAATAAAATTTACCCGCCATCTGACGATTCTAGAATAGTATGGAGAATAATAATGTAATTAATTTGCCCCTAGGAAGCGACATCACCTTTCATACATTGGGCAGTTGAAAATATTTTTATTGAGCTTTGCATAAAAGGGATTATCTTATCAACGATTACATTATAGTGGTATCCATTAAAAGAAATTTTGAATGTACAACGTTTTCAGTCGTCTTTTATAAAAATGGATCATTACGAAAGTCTGTTCTTTTTTTATATTTATTAAAGAGGGATTTATACAATTATGTAAATATTGCCCTCATTATAAAACTTGGTTACAGAAAGACTTAAACAAATAACGCAAATAATGGCTGCATAAACATTTTTTGATAAAATTAAATGGCTCTCTGACCTCTCGAAAAGTTGGAAAAGCTGGAACACTATGACAAAAACCAACATCTCAACACAGTTATAGACACAGAACATAGCACTTAAATTCACTTGAGCGGTCTATGTGTCCCTCTCATAAGCTCCAATAAAATGTAGGCGTCACAGTCACGCTTTTACAAAATTTAGATACCCTTCGATTATGTAACAGAACAAAAGCTCGTGCCACACAAGTTGAACAGGGCATGATTAATGCCACCATCTTAACCGGCACTGGAGACTGAAAATATAAGGATCCCACGATTCCTATTTAATTTTAGTTTCGTTATGACCATTAGGAGCCGTGATAGCTCAGTGTCCGGGCGCTCGCCTTTAATTCAATATACTCGAGCAACCTGAGTTCGATGCCGGCACCAATGAAGTTTTTAACTTTAAGTGCTGACTTATCACGTGCTCCGCGGTGAAGGAAAACATCGTGAGGAAACATGCATATTTTCGAAATAATAACAAAAAAATTATATTTCGAAAATTTGTGAAGTCCGCCAATCCGCAGTGGGGCCGCGTGGTGGACTATGCCCTGATACCCTCTGTATAGAGGAGGCCTTTGCCCAGCAGTGGGACATGTATAGGCTGTTACTTTACTTTTTTTTATGACCATTAAAAAACACAAGGGCAAACATTAAAGGTCTGGTCTTAGAAAAACTGTTTCTTATCACAAGGTCATTGTATGATTTGCATGTAGCATTTTCGGATGTGTCCAGTGCCCAGAATCTTTATATTCTATCCCCAAACGGAGACATTTGTAATATCGTCTACAGTTGCATATTAAGCTAGTGCTCGGTTCTGTGTCTTGTCTGCTTATGGCTGGAAACACGTCATAAGAAAAAAAAACCGGCCCAAGTGCGAGTTGGACTCGCGCACGAAGGGTTCCGTACCATTATGTACAAAAAAATCATGTCTGTTGTATGGGAGCCCCACTTAAATATTTTTTTATTCTGTTTTTTAGTATTTGTTGCTATAGCGACAACAGAAATACATCATCTGTGTGAAAAATTCAACTGTCCAACTAACTACTAGTTGGACATCTCATTAGATCTCATTAGATACAGTCTGGTTACAGACGGGGAGACAGAAAAACATACAGCGGAGTCTTAGTAATATGGTCCCGTTTTACCCTTTGCGTACGGAATCCTAAAAAAAGGTGTGTGTGTTCGGCATCTTCGCTTATTCTTCGACGAACTTCAGCTAAACAATAAAAAATAACTAAAGATTTTATCCCCTGTGCCAGTACTATGTTTTTAAAAAATACATTAAATACATTAATTGATAACGCTTATAACTTGGAATTATAGGTAAATGTTAAAAAGTTGTCATTGGTTGGCAAGATAATATCGTGAAGAAAGCAACCAACTTCACGGTATTATAATATTAGGTATTTCTTGGTATCACCATGTTTTTCGCTTTTTGGGGTTCGGTGTGCGCGCGCATCTTATATATTTTACTGTCATAATTTATTCCAAACGCGCCAAAAGAAGGATAACTTCAAAAATCACACCAATTTGGAAAACAAATCAAACTTATATGCGCTCTTCACGTTAGGATTGGCTGTATACGCAGACAGGATCTACCAGATGTACACCGGCACACTTCCATTGAGGTTAGCTTAAAGCTCCAGTATGTCAGTGGTACACTGTGTCTGCGGCCAGAACCTCGGGTTCCGCTTATCCTTTAGTTATGGAACTGTTACTTATTTATCCTTGCATGTATATTAAAGGACTTATTGCTAATTCCACATGAAATTTGCTTATCTTTTTCTTTTTTCTAAATATGCTAACGATAATAACTTTAACAAAATTTACCGTAATGCATACTTTGTTCATCTGTTCTTCAAACAAGGAAAGAAGCCTTATAAATGACGCAAAAATGCGGAGACCCAATATATGGCGATATGACGCAAGACAGGCCATTCCTTCAAGTTTATATCTTTATATTTGCATCTTAATGAAGCGATTACGTGTTATGGTTATATATGTGTATAAAAAATATTCCTTTGTCTTTTTAGAAATTAAAATATGCTCATGTATCATTATATCATTATAAAGTCATATGAGCTAACTTGTTTCGGCGACACAATGATGATGATGACAATTTTAATGATCATCATTTTATATTTTATAGGGTACTATGTAAAGCTTCATCGGTCACAGAGCAAGCGAGAATTCCATCGTGGTATGATGTCTAGCAATGGCGTACTTGAAGGACCGTACCTGCTGATAAAGCAAGGTATTAGAACCTTCATTTTAACTGACCTAACTGCAAAGAAGCACGGGTGTATTTTGATTCATCTCCATTTACGAGATTCATGTATCATTAGATATATGTGTTGTTTTCTTGCTCAGAAATTAATGATATAATCGTAAAAGTGTACATCTACACATATTTTTAGTTGTCTTATCAAAACCGTCTCAAATTTCACTGTCTGTTATTTGTATTTCTATTATCGCTTGTAATATTTGAGTTCGTTAAAACTCTTCAAGCTCTTCAAATAAAGTAAAGCAATATATATCATACGTCCCTTTGCTGGGCAAAGACCTCCTCTGTAATCAAGGTATTAGAATGTAGTCCACCACGCCATGCCAAATATGGTAGGCAGGCTTCGCATGTCTTCGATTTTTGTATTATATAAAACTATATTTATAGGTAATAAATACCATTTGACCAGTGCGAAATTGTCTCACTATACCGTGATCAGTCTATGTTATATAGTTATGTGTACATAGCTATTTATTGATGAAAGTGATCTCATTAAAAGAAGTCTTAGTTTAAATTAAAGGATAAAGTTTTTCGGTCAATAGTTTTTTTTAATGGAAGAGGACACGATCGGGCAGGCGGGCCAACTGACGGGCCACCAAAAGACTCGCTTTGCCGGTCTTTGAGATAGGAATAGTATCAAAATAAATTACTTGAATAACAAATATTTGTGTTCATGAAAAAAAATTGATTAAGAATTATTATGGAAGTTATGGCGTAATGACAAAAAAAACACCATTGGGAAGTAATATACAGTGAGAGTAATTGTGTAATGAGGTATAGTATCGTTAATTTTCCATATTATTGATATGCGTAAACCAAAAATTTTTTAGTCAGTTGTCTCAAAAACTGTTTTTATTTTTATATGATATGATCTATTCGTTTATTAAATAAGGTAAATGTATCTGTAGCTGGTTTATACAGACTAAGTTGCATGGTCACTGCATGCAATTATTACACACCTTATACATTACGTAACTGGAAATGTAATATTAATCATAGTTCTGAGAAATTATTTATTGACAGGTTTCCTTA